ATAATCTTAAATAGTTAAACCCACACTGTGGTTAATGTACCAAATCTCCTTTATTTTGAATAGCATTAACATGGTATGCCTTTTCCTATCCTTTTACTTATTATTATTTTTTCTTTAGGTTCTGGAATATATGTGCAGAATGTGCAGGTTTGTTACATACGTATACATATGCCACAGTGGTATACTGCACCCATCAACCTGTCATCTACATTGGATATTTCTCCTAATGCTATCCCTCCACTAGGCCCCCTTCCCCCAAAAGGCCCTGTGTGTGATTCTCCCCTCCCTGTGTCCATGTGTTCTCATTGTTCAACTCTCACTTATCAGAGAACACATGGTGTTTGGTTTTCTGTTCTTGTGTTAGTTTGCTGAGAATAATGGTTTCCAGCTTTATCCACGTACTTGCAAAGGGCATGAACTCTTCCTTTTTATGGCTGCGTAGTATTCCATGGTGTATATATGCCATATTTTCTTTACCCCAGTCTATCCTTGATGGGCATTTGGGATGATTCCAAGTCTTTGCTATTGCAAATACCATGGGAAAAGCATAGCATCTGGGCCAGAATGCACTGTGCCTTATAGCATGGTCCCTGACAGCTTCCCTTGGCTAGGGAAGTTAGTTCTCTGACCACTTGTGCTTCCCTGGTGATGTGAAACATCACCCTGCTTCAGCTTGCCCTCTGTGGGCTGCACCCACTGTCTAACCAGTCCTAGTGAGATGAGCTGAGTACATCAGTTGGAAATGCAGAAATCCTCCACCTTCTGCATTGAACTCACTGGGAGCTGCTAACTGGAGCTGTTCTTATTCCACCATCTTGTCAGCCACCCACCTCCTTTTACTTTTAATTTATTTTTTATCATATTAATATTGTGTTTCTGATAGGCAGCATATATTTAGGTCTTGTATTTTAATCCAATCTGTCAATCTTCCTTTGGAATCAGGTGACTAGGCCATTTACATTTAATGTGCTTGTTAACATGTTTTGATTTAGATTTATACTTTTGATATTTATGTTTATTTGTACATTTGTTAAAATTGATGAAACTACACTGACAAATTATCACCAAAGTCATACTTTACATTAGGGTTCACTTTTAGTGTTATACATCCTATGGGTTTTGACAAATATAGTGATATGTATTCATCAATGTAGTGTCATAACAAGCTTCACTCCCCTAAAACTCCTCAGTGCTCTACCTATTCATTTCTCTCTTCCTCCTAACCTCTGGTCACCACTGATTCTTTTACTATCTCTATAGTTTTGCTTTTTCCAGAATGTTGTATAATTAGAATAATACAGTATGCTGCCTTTCAGATTGGTTTATTTTACTTGGTAACAAGCATTTAAGTTTCCCCTATGTCTTCTTGTGTTTTGATGGCAAATTTCTCTTTAGTGCTGAATAATATCCTATTTTCTGGATTACCTCAGTTTATTTATCCATTCCTAAAGAAGATCATCTTGGTTACTTCCCAGTTTGGGCAGTTACAAATGAAGCTGTTAAAACATCCTCCTGACGGTTTTTGTGAGTTAATTAGTTTTTAATTCCTTTAGGTAAATACCGAGGAGCATGACTTCTGGATAATATGATTAAGAGTGTGTTTAGTTTTGGAAACTGCCAACTGTCTTTCAAAGTGACTACATCATTTTGGATTTCCAAATGCAATGAATCAGAATTCCTGTTGTTTCATATCCTCACTAGAATTTGATGTTGTCAGTGTTCTAGATTTTAGCCTTGCTAAAGGGTATGGAGTGGTATCTCATTGTCTCAATTTGTAATACCCTAATAACATGTGATGTTGAACATTTTATTCATATGCAAAGCATATGAAAGCTCTTCTTTGGTGAGTTTTAAGAATTTTTTGTATATTTTGGATGATAGTCCTTTATTAGATGTGTCTTTTAAATATTTTATTCTAATTGGTGGCTTATCTTCTCCTTCTGTTGACATTGTCTTTCACAGCAAATGTTTTTAATTTCAATAAATTCCAGCTCATCAATTTTTTTCATGGATTGCTCCTTTGGTGTTTTATGTAAAAGGTCAATAGCATACACAAATTTGATTAGTTGTTCTTTTGTTATCTTCTAGGAATTTTGTAGATGTGATGTGTACTTTACATTTAAGTCTATCTTTCATTTTGAATTAATTTTTGTAAAGGGTATAAAAGTCTGTACTTAGATTATTCTTCTATTTTGAAATTTGGTATGTGGCTATCCATTTGTTCCAGAAGAACATGTTGAAGCAACTCTCCTTGTTTAATGTATTGGCTTTGGTTCTCTGTCAAAGATTGGTTGATTATATTTATGTGTACCTATTTCTGTTCTATTGATCCATTTGTCTATTCTTTTGGCAATATCACACCTTCTTGCTTACTGTGACTTCACTGTGAGGCTTGAAATTGTATAGTGTAAGTACTCTGATTTGCTCTTTTTTAGTATTGTGTTAGCTATTTTGAATCTTTTGCCTCACCATATAAACTTTGGAATCAGTTTGTTGCTGTATACAAAATAACTTGCTGAGATTTTGATTGAGATTATGTTGAGTCTGTAGATCAAGTTGGGAGGAACTGACAACTTGACAATATTTAGTCTTTCTATCCATGAACATGGACTCTCTCCATTTATTTAGTTCTTCTTAGATATATTTTATCAGATTTTTATAGTTTTTCATTTTCAGGTGCTAATATGAGTGATATTGTGTTTTACAATTCAATCTTATTTTTAATTGATGGTGCATAAAAAAGTAATTGTCTTTTGTACATTAATCATGTATTCTGAAACCTTGCTATAATTACTTATTATTTTCAGCTTTCTTTCTTTTTTTTTTTTGTGTCAGTTTCACTGGATATTCTCCACAGGTAAATATATTACCTGAAAACAAAGACAGTTCATTTTCTTGTTTTCCTATTTATCTATCTTTTCTTTTCCTTTTTTAAAATCGTATTAGCTTGAATTTCCTATATAATGTTGAAAAGCTGTTGGGACAGAGAACAGCCTTGCTTTTTCCCTGATTTTAGTGTAAGAGATTTGAGTTTCTCACTGTTAAGCATGATGTTAGCTGTAGGTTTTTTTTGTAGATGTTCCTTAAGAAGTTGAAGAAGTCCTCTCCTGATTTGTTGTTTTTAAAATGTTGAATGTTGAATTTTTTCAACTACTTTTTCTTTATTTATTAATATGAATATATGACTTTTCCTCTTTATCCTGTTGATGTGATGGATAAGATTAATTCATTTTTAAATGTTGAACCAGGCTTGCATACCTGAAATAAATCCCCCTTTGTTCAAGGCGTATTATTATTTCTATAAGAATATTCTTAATAAAATGTTAAATACGTCTGTTATATTCAATTTGCTAATATTTTGCTTAGAATATTTAAAATATACTTGAAGCAAAAAATAGCTAACTAGCTATCTAGATATAAACAGATGTAGATATCAACAAAGCCAGAGCTCTAAAAATATTTCCATTACCACCTCTCAGAAACTGTAAACATCCTTAGCTCGTAGAGTTTGAGAATTTTATCTGTTCTTATCTAGGGAAATATTTGCTTATTGAATAATTCAGTTTTACTGATCTTTTCTGCATGAGTATGACTCAGGATTCTCATCCTAAATTGAGATCCACTAGAATTGTCAACTCTTTGCATCAGAATACTTATTAATAATTTATAGAAATTTCCATGATTTACCTACATATGCTCTCAAAGTGTAGTTTACAAATTCTGTCCTTAAGTGTTTATTTTTTCTGCAATGTTCCAAAAGTCTTTCGGCATCTACCTGAAATCTTGCAAGTGACGTCCTTTTCTATTTTTGCAGTCACATTGTACCGTATTATATTTTCTTTGGTAGTCCTTCTTTTCTGCTGGTGTTGTATGTGGAGTACCTGTAAGTTTACTTAGCAACCTATATGTCCTCATTATCAGGACTGAACTCATTAATGCTATCTTTTTGTCCTGATGCTAATCAATTTTATGATGTAATTCTTTCGAGATAATCTGTTTTCCTATTCATTTAATAGTGTCTATCCAAAATATCAAATGTCTGAATGAATTACTGAACATCATAAATGTAAGCTTTTACAAGGTTTCAAATATTAAAAGTTCAGAAAACTTTTACTCAAACATTTCTATGCGCTTGTGACAAATACAAAAAAAATGTTGTTTTCATGTGGCCCAGTTTGGAAACCTTCAAAGTTTGTTCTTTTTCTTGCATATATGCATGCTATGTTTATGTTTTTATCATGAGAGTTGTATCAGAAAAATATTTGAAAAGACAGGCATGAACTGATTCAAAATTAATTTCTAAAGAATATATTTATCTTTAAAGATATTTTATATTAATATAATAATAAAAGGCAAATAAATATAATCTGGCTGATTGAATAAATGTGAGTATAGTGGTCTATTTTTAACAGTAGATCATTGAATATAGTGAGATGCTAAAAGTACTATGTAATGATTCAGGTTACATTCACTGTTTAACTGCTCTCAATGTGTACCGTACGTGGGAGTTTTAAATACATAGATGAATTGTAGAGTAAGAACCATTATGTTCATGTCATGTATAAAATGGTATATGTGATTGCAAGATACTAAACCATGAGATGAGTTAACTATTGTTTCCTTGGAAACAATGATGAATAAAATAACTCATTACACTGAATTAACTTGAGGTAATAGAGCTTATGAATTACATCCCACCTACATGTCTCTCTTTTCTCCTAGGTCTTTTCAGTATATTAGCTCTGAAGTTGTCTACCTTCCCCACAGATTATTATAACTCAGGGTTAATGACATGCTTTCAAATTGTAGAGTACCCATCTCTTAATTCTATATTAACTACTTTGTTAGTTTTATCATTGATTACTCCTCCCAATATGTTTTTGTTTTCTTGATATTGTAAATATGTGATGATTTTTTAAAATTTTAAATATTAAATGTAATAAAACCACCTACGGTATTGTTTTTAATCATGGGCTCCCAACTATTTTTACTCTTTACAGATTATTTTGGACAGATGAAGTTAAGAGAATATGTTAAAAGTAAGCATGGTAGAATCCCCAAAATAACTGACAAATGATGTCACAGAAAAGTTCTGAACTAGGAATTAACAGATTTGTTTCAATCTTGCTTGTGTGTCTCTTGCTGGTGATCTCCTCCAGATTAAGTTTTATCATCTGTATTGGGATAATAAAACCTATTTTATCTAAACTAAATCGTTGAGTGGAATGAAGTCATGTATCTAAAAGTACTTTAAAGGCTGTGATCTGAAATAGAAATAATTATATGGAAAAGGTAGCTTTAACAATATTAGCTTGTTTATAAGTTTACTATGTAAAATAAAATAAGTAAACACATGCATTAAATAACATTTACTGAATGCTTCCTTTTTACATAGCTTAATTCCATATGACATAGGTACTATTACTACCCTCATTTTGCAGATGAGGAAACGAAGGCATTGAACAGATTAAATAATTTACCTAGGGTTACAAGGCTAAAACTGGGATTAAACCTAGATTGTACAACTTCAGAAATTACCTTTTTAACCATTATGCTATATTGCTGTTGTGATAGGATGATTGATGAGATGTGGCAACAAAACCAAGTTCAAAAGTTAAAAATAGTAGGTTAAAGTCTCTTTATTAGAGAATAACATATTGGTTAATATTCTATCAGAATATTTGCCATTGTCTCTTTATTTTCTATGTCTTCATACCTGACTGTTCTGAAATTCATTTCCCAGTCACATCAAGAATCAGGAAAAAATAATTCTGCATATTTGAAGCATGAGGAATTTATAAAGGGATTATTTAAACAGGAAATAGAAAAGATGAGATGCCAGCAGCAGATGGAGAGGAAGCCCTGAAATTGGCAGCCGTAAGAGGCAGCAGAAGCCCCTAAACTCAAGGGAATAAAGTAAGTTGTTACCGGAGCCCACCTATGCTCACACAGTAGAAGCTGGAATTATGTAAGGCCTATCTGGGGGAAGCTGGAGTGAGAAACTCTGATGCTGTGGAAGAAGTCATTCAGCCAGAGGAGGGAGATAAATACCCTGGCCTCTCTCTGCATCCCTTCTACCCTTCACTTTCTTTTTAGTCTTCCGTTGGTGAAGAACAGCTGCAAGCCAGTTGTCATTGGAACCTGACAAAAGATGAGCCTAGGCAACAGAGGATTGAAAGGCAGCCTGCAGACATCAGTCTTCCTCCCAACCCCACAAATACTCCCACCTCTGAGTTACAGTGCAGAGAAGGGTAAGAGTAAAAAGATAGTGCTCCATCATTGGAAGATTTCCCTTCGATTTTCTTTGTTTCTATTCTCCTTGACAATTCATTTCCATTATATTGCCTTCATCAGCGAATGAGTTCTAATGGAAGTTTTAAACTGTTTAATGACACTGAATTGTTTTTTCCTCTACTAACAAGAAAAGTTAGACTTGGCTGCTGTGAAGGTTTCAGGGATGAATATACTATAGGAAATATCAGTAAAAAATTTAAAAGCAGCCCCTTTATGGGAGGGTGGTCCCTGTATCATAAATACGGTGAACAGCCCACTCTTTGGGGGCACAAACATAAATTGGTTTAATTGGTTTTTAATAACTGCTGCAAACCATGTCCATTAGAAACTATTTTTTCCTCTAAATACCTGGCTTTATTTTTTATCTCTATCTGATTCCAAAATTATTCAGTAACTTTCTATTATTAAACAGTCACATACCAAGTTATAAAAATTAGCTGATTCGTTTTTCTCCAGCTATCTTGAAAATATTCAAGCCTATAGAAAGCATAAAGAAGAATACAATCATTGCCATACACCTAGTATTATTTATATATAAATGTGCACAGTGTCCTCTATTTCTGTGTGTTTAACTCCATATAAGCTAGGTACTGTTGTTACCATCATTTTGCAGATGAGGAAGCTGAGCACAGAGAAGTTAAATAACTTACCTGAGTTTATAAGGCTAAAGCTGGTATTAAACCTGGATTTTCTAGCACCAGAAATTATGTTATTTATTTATTTCCCATACTTTAAGTTCTGGTATACATGTGCACAATGTGCAGGTTTTTTACATAGGTATACACGTGCCGTGGTGGTTTGCTGCACTCCTCAACACATTGTCTACATAAGGTATTTCTCCTAATGCTGTCCCTCCCACCCCTCAAAAGGACACACATTTTTTGTTGTTGTTGTACTTTAGGTTCTGGGGTACATGTGCAGATCATGCAGGATTATTGCATAGGTACACACATGGCAACATGGTTTGCTGTGTCCATACCCTGTCACCTACATCTGGCATTTCTCCCCATGTTATCCCTCCCCAACCTCCCCACCACCCTGCTTCCCCCTTCCTTGGCCCCCCTCAACAGACCCCAGTGTGTGATGCTCCCCTCCCTCATGTGTTCTCATTGTTCAACGGCCACCTATGAGTGAGAACACGTGGTGTTTGATTTTCTGTTCTTGTGTCAGTTTGCTGAGAATGATGGTTTCCAGATTCATCCATGTCCCCACAAAGGACAGGAACTCATTGTTTTTTATGGCTGCATAGTATTCCATGGTGTATATGTGCCACATTTTCCTTGTCCAGTCTACCATCGATGGGCATTTGGGCTGGTTCCAGGTCTTTGCTATTGTAAACAGTGCCACTATGAACATACATGTGCTTATATGAACACGTCTTTATAATAGAAATTATGTTGTTAATCATTATATTATAGTGGTATTTTCTTAGAATGACTGATGAGATTTGGCAACAAAGCCAAGCCCAAAAGTTAAAAATTATATATATTTATATGTTTCCTCTATATTGCATATTTTCTGACTTTATTGAGGTATGATTGACAAATAAGGATTTTATGTATTTAAAATATACAATGTGATAATAATATGACATACCTGTATACTTTGAAATGATTACCACAATCAAATTCATTAATATAGAAATCACTCCATATAGTTACCTTTTTGCATGTGGCAAGAACACTTAAGATCTAATATCATGGCAAATTTCAAGTATACAATTATGGATACCAGTATACATTATTGTTAACTATGTGTATAAGCTATTTAAAAGTAAGTTGTAGGCATTATTGCAATGTTTTTCTAAAAAATATAAAATGCATCTCTTAAGAATAACAATACCGAGAGAGAGATCCAAGATAGCTGATCACTAGCAGCTCGGGATTGTAGCTCCCAGTGAAAGCGCAGAGAACGAGAGGACGCCACACTTTCAGACGAATTTTTGTTGCTCAGGCACCAGGAGATTCCCAGTGGAGGGGCCCCGCGGATCGCCAGCGCGACTCTTGTGACTGCTGAGGCGGTTGTGCTGCTGCCTTGGTGTGGTGGTTCTTGGTGCAGAGTCAGAAAAGCACCATCAATCATAACGCCACTGTTTTGGCCGGTGCAATGGTTGCTCAGATTTTAGCACTGGGCATCAACAAGTTGGACGTCCACTCAGAAACCCAATTATAAAGATGGTAATTATAAAGACCACAGATGGATAAATCTATAAAGAAGGGAAGAAAACAGCCTAAAAAGGCTGAGAATATCCAAAATCAGAATGCCTCTCCCTCTACAGGGGATCACAGTTCCTCATCAGCAATAGAACAAGGCCTGATGGAGAAAGACTGTGTTCCATTAACAGAAGCAGGCTTCAAAAGGTGGATGATAAGAAATTTCTGTGAATTAAAAGAACTTGTTCTACCCCAATGCAAAGAAACTAAGAACTTTGAAAAAAGGTTTGACAAAATGTTAACAAGAATACACAATTTAGAGAGGAATATAAGTGAATTAATGGAGCTGAAAAACACAACACGAGAACATCGCGAACTATGCACAAGTTTTAACAGCCGAATCGATCAAGTAGAAGAAAAGATATCAGAAGTCGAAGACCAAGTTAATGAAATAAAACGAGAAGACAAGATTAGAGAAAAAAGGATAAAAAGGAACGAGCAAAGCCTCCAAGAAATATGGGACTATGTGAAAAGACCTAATCTACATTTGATGGATGTACCTGAATGTGGTAAAGAGAATCAATCCAAGCTGGAAAATACGCTTCAGGATATTATTCAGGAAAACTTTCCCAGCCTAGCAAGGCAGGACAATATTCAACTCCAGGTAATACAGAGAACACCACAAAGATATTCCTCAAGAAGACCAACCTCAAGGCACATAATTGCCAGATTCACCAGGGTTGAAATGAAGGAGAAAATACTGAGGGCAGCCAGAAAGAAAGGTTAGGTTACCCATAAAGGGAAGCCTATCAGACTCACAGTAGATCTCTCAGCAGAAACCCTACAAGCTAGAAGAGAGTGGGGGCCAATATTCAACATCCTTAAAGAAAAGAACTTTCAACCCAGAATTTTACATCCAGCCAAACTAAGTTTCATAAGTGAAGGAAAAATAAAATTTTTTGTGAACAAACAAGCACTCAGAGATTTCATTACCACCAGGCCTGCTTTACAAGAGCTTCTGGAAGAACCACTACACATAGAAAGGAACAACCAGTATCAGCCTTTCTAAAAAATACCAAAAAGTAACGAGCATCAACATAATCAAGAATTTACATGAACTAATAGGCAAAACAGCCAGCTAACATTAAATGGCAGTATTAAACTCACATCTATTATTATTAATTCTAAATTTAAATCGACTAAATCCCCCAATCCAAAGACACAGACAGGCAAAAAAAGCCAAAACCCATCGGTATGCTGCATCCAGACCCATCTCACATGCAAGGATACACAAAGACTCAAAACAAAGGGATGGAGAAAGATTTACCAACCAAATGGAGGCAAAAATAAATAAATAAATAAATAAAAAGCAGGAGTTGCTTTAAAGCAACAAAGATCAAAAGAAGCAAAGAAGGATATTACATAATGATAAAAGGATCGATGCAACAAGAGAGCTAAAGATCCTAAATATATACGCACCCAATACAGGAATACCCAAATATATAAGACTTATAAAGAGACTTGGACTCCCACACAATAATAGTGGGAGACTTCAACATCAATATTAGACAGATCAATGAGACAGAAAATTAACAACGATATCCAGGATTTGAACTCAGATCTGGAACAAGTAAACTTAATTAACATTCATAGAACTCTCCACTTTAAATACACAAAATATACACTCATATCAGTACCATATCACATCTATTTACAGGTTTCAATGAAATATTGGTGGCTGCTTGTTTGTTATTTTCTTCCCTCATTTTTTTTCATGTCTCTATTATTAAGCACAATTATAGGCATACCCATTTTTAGACTACATTCTAGCCTGGACAATAAAGCAACACCCCCATTCTCTCTCCCTCTTCCTGTTTTCTTTCTTCCTTTCCTTCATTCTTTTTTTTTTCTTTCTTTCTTTCTTTTTTTTTTTTTTTTTAGGTAAAAGAAAAAAAAGAATAACAATACCAGCCAGGCATAATGCCTCACACCTGTAGTCCCAGCACTTTGGAAGGCCAAGTTGGAAGGATCCCTTGAGGCTAGGAGTTCAAGACGAGCCTAGGCAACACAGTGAAACTCCATCCCTATCAAGAAAAACAAAAATTAAAATTAGCTAGGCGTGCTGCTATGTATCTGTAGTCCCAGCTACTTGGAAGGCAGAAGCAGGAAGACCAGTTCAACCTGGATAACAGAGCAAGATCCTGCCTCTAAAAAACGAAAAAAGGAATACCACATACCATTACCACTCTCAAACAAATAAACAATATTTTTTTGGAAATGTTTATAGAAAAAATTTAGGAAATTTTTGGAAATGTGGAAAATTAAAAATCATTCCACAGTGCAATCTAATATACAAGTCATATTTAAATTCTCTCAACTGGCTATGTAATTTATTTTGAATATATAGTCAGACATTATGTCCAAAATTGTATGAAATTTTTTTCTGCCTAGTTTATCAGTCATTTCAATATATAATTGGATTCACTATTTCTATTTATATTGTATTTCAGAATTTTATTTTTCATTCTTTAGATTTAATTATTTTTAAATTTTTAATATAGAGTTTAAATATCCAAATACTCA